GTATGTATTGACACAATCATGAAGACTACCCTAAATCACAGCATTGTGTCTTGTTTCTCCTTACGAAAGAAGGTTGAGAGTGGGGGTTTGCTTGTTCAGAGCGATCAACTTAGTTTATGGTTTTGAGTTATGAAGTTGGAGGCATTCTGAGTAATAGTTGGCTATCTGGTAGTAGCTGCTGGACCTTTAGTTCTATAGGCTCCTCTTTTTGGGCAATTGGCATATTCATTCTTCCATGAAATCTTCCTCTTTGGCCTTGATCCCAAAACCCCAAGGAAACTCTTTCCTAAATGCACCGGGCTTCTTTCCTTGGGAGGAACTGTGCCTGGTCCCAACAATAAGAAAACAAACTAGTTGTTACAATATGGCTAACAATGCATTCAATTGGATAGCCATCCCAGCCTATTTCTAGACAAGTGAGAGACTCTGTGTAAAAAATTAAAATGTTGGATGACATCCAAGGACTGACACCTGAGGATGTCCTCTAGTCAACACATATTCATGGACAGATGTGCACACACAGCCCTACATGTGTGCACCTGTGTTGTATGCATTTACACACACACACACACACACACACACACACACACACACACACACACACGCAGCAGCAGCAGCAGCAACAACAACAAAAAATCCCTAGATTTCCCCCCAGATAGGTAGGCAGGAAAGATGGGCTACGGGTCTCAGCTGGGCTAAGCCCAGCACACTGTCTATGGTCTATGGAGTAGGTGACTGGCTTTGAATCCCAGAATTCTAGTTCAGTTAATCCTTCTAACACTTCATCTTTCTAACACAATGTCTTCTTTGAGACAGCTGAAGGGAAGGAACTTTGATTTTGTTTCACTGTTGTTGGACAAGATGGTGGGCAAAAATAAATGGCCCGTCAGAGGCTGAGAGCTTGTTATTCCAGTGGCCAAGAAGGAAGAGAAGTGAGCTCTGATTCTGTCTTCAAGGGTTTCCTGTTCTTTGTTCTCCTCCCCTAGCTTAGACCCATGTCTCACATATCCCTCTGTCACTGATACTGAAGGACAGCCATGTACTCATTACGGGTGGAGAGGAGTGAGAGATGGCGAGAATGATCAGGAACCTGGATAGGAATCAGGATTGAAGATCCAAAGTGGCAAAGGTCATCAAGAGAGTGTAAACACCTTTCTTAGGCTTTTTGAAATCGTTAAGGGAAGTTCTGGGTTTCCACAGTTACATGCAATATGGCATAGAGTTTATATTTAAATGTTATGTGAAAGCCGGTAAAATTGAGGGTGATTCACATGCAAGGGAAACTATATCTTTAACAGGGTTGAGAGGTTCAAATGATAATCTAAATGAAAATACCTCATAAACTAAAGAAATACAGGATTTCAGATGTTAAATATCTTAGATAGTTTTCAAAGAAAAATTCAGATTTTAAATTCAACAGTGAGTGATGATCCGGAAGTTGGGAGTTTTATGACTAAGTTTTTTTTTTTAATGAATTATTCAGTTCAAACTGATAGTTACAACATAGTTAAAATAAAAATGACTGGATGTGACCCAAACATGTCATGTGAAGACATAAAGATTTTAGATTCACAGTAACAACAGCAGGGCAGTTTAGTTGGAATGGAAAGTAGCTTGGTTGTGTAATAGCTAACGGAGACTGTGGGTGGGTATGAGGAGAAAATGTCAGGCACAAGGAATGGTCAGTATGGATGGAGTGGACAACAGAGCAGACCCTTGGTGTATAGCATCTTCATGTTCAGTGCCACCTGCGGGAGGAAATGGAAGGATCGCTACCTTCAGAATGGGGAGAATGAAAACCTGAAATGAGTAACTTTCTCAGAGTCAAAAAACACATAGGTGGTTGAGCTAGCATGAAGATTGTCATTGCCAAGGACCCTGCTCTTTTTATTCCACCATTTACCCATGTGGGGTTAGAAAACCTTTAGCCTCTAAGCCCAAGTGGTTCTCAGCCTGTGGATTGTGACCCTATGGGAGGGGGGGTTCCAAATGACCCTCTCACAGAGGTCACCTAAGACCTATGGAAAACAGATATTTACCCTACGATTCATAAGAGTAACAAAATTACATTTATGAAGTATCAATGAAAGTAATTTTATGGTTGGGGCTCACCATAACACAAGGAACTATATTAAAGGGTCTCAGCAAAAGGAAGGTTGAGGACTACTGCAAGCCTTCCACAGAAAGTGTCTGACGAGACTTTGTGAGATGCTGCAGATGATAAATACACAGAAAGGGGATGGAGTGACTTGAAAATATTCAGTAATGAGAGGGTTAAATTCCTGGATCCTACTGTGTATGTGCTATATTGTCTAAAGTTCCATCGACATTGGCCCAGCCTCTCTCTCTCTTTTATGAGGTAATTACAAAAGTGCTGGCAAATTCTTTCCACCAGTGGTTCCTGCATACAGCACGCACTGATATTGTGGGACTCTTTGTTGTTGTTCAGAATTCACCTTAGGGGTTTTCTCAAACTCTGCCTTCTTGCTCTATGGTGGTTTTTAGCTTTCTTTTTTCTTTCCAGGCTGGGTGGATGATGCAGTTTCACTTCTAGGTGTCAGGGTTCTCTTTCACACTGGCTTGTCCTGACCTTAAAGTGTTTTAGGTTGCTAATTGCTAATTTTTTTCCCAAGTCATCCCTCCAGTTACGTAGAGACTTTTACTAAATGAGTTCAGAAGATCAGCATTATGGGAGTCCATCTTACGGTCTGAGCTGTGGTGTGTACAAGGCAGCATTGTTCTTTCAAGTTCTCCATGTTGTTGGGTTTGGGAATGTTGAGCTTGAAGGCTGGTTGTATTCCTGAATTGGCTATGGGATGCTACACATGGCTTCCATTGCTAAGGGTGGACAAGTGTTTGTTATGATCGTAATTGTCTTAATTAAAATTGCCGTCATAGCTCTCCCCTCAGGTAATTGGGCTCCGATAGTCATTCTTAGCTAAAGCCACCCACAAAAACCACACACATGGCGCTTTACTCAAAACTCTACTTGAACCACCACTTTGTGATGCAAAATCAGTGGAATTTTGGGTACTTTCTGTAAAATCGAAATCTTTATGGGGGTTTTCCGACATCCCAGTTGGTTAACAAGTGATCAGTGCAGTGAACAGAACTAAGTGGAGTTGGCTAAACCCTGACTCCTGGGACAGGATGGGACAGCAGTGTAGGTGAGTACTGTCATCTGGAGGCAGCTGCTTTGATTGAGTTGAGATTGGCTCTGCTTTTGAAAGCTGTGGCTAAGCAAGAGGTCTTGTACTAGCTTTTGTAGTGTGGAAGGCAGATATGTTAAGAGTTTACCTGTTGCTTATCTCTGCCACAGGGTTTTCGGTCTTGACACGGTATCCACATTTAGTCCTTTCTAGCTTAGAGACTGTCTTGCGAAAGAGATTTGAAAGGAAAGATCAAGTGGCAGTGTTTTCCAAGCAGGAATAAAGGTGGGAAGGGGATGACTGCTCAAATAGGCTAGTCCTGTTCTGGAAGGCAGGAAGCCCCTGACCTGGAAGAACTCACTGTCTTGCAGAAGTCAGGAGATGTCTGTTTATTTTGCAAGTGACTCTCCCTGTTGAGGTTCTGGGTCTCATTTTTTAAGTTTCATTCCTGCTGTGTGGTTTGGTAGACGGTTTAAGTGAGACCCAGTCTCAAAAACAAACAAACAAACAAACCTACCAAACAACAACAAACCCCCCCCAAGCCAAAACAAAACCTTGATTTGGTGTGGTGGCAAATGTCTAAGCACACAAAGTCCCAGAGGCTTTCTTGCACATAAACACTACACTGCTATACTTAATACTTAGCGTGGCCATGCTCCTCCTTCATCTTGGGAGGTAACCTTGAGGGTGACCTGAATCTTGATCCCTGAAATAGAGGTGCTCAAAAAGATGCTGTGGGGAGAATGTAGCAGAACCAGTGACCTAGCAAAGGCCATGGGAGCTTGACGTGCAGAAGCTGTTGTAGGAGCTTTGATGTTGACACCTGATTTCCCAGGGTAGGATGTGCTGCAGGTAAGGCGGAGTGACATTTAAGTTTCCATTATTTTCTGCTGAAGCTGGCAAACTGAATGAAGATTTATATCTTTGGTGACAGGATTCAAATGAGACGCGACAAACCTGTAAAAGCTGCCACCTGAACATGTCAATGCAGAGCTTTCCAGTGAGCTGGATGGGACTTGGGGAGACACCCCACACACTGCCAGCCTCGCCATGTTGGGAAGCTTTAGAGATCAAAGGCAAAGCCCAAGGGAATGAGCAAGTCCTTACTGGCTGTGCTGTATTGTAAGATTGAGTACGGGTGCCATTTTGATTTTAGGAAAAAAAGCACGTGTCTCTTGAAGGTTCACCTTATGGTGAAAAATTTCAAACTGATTGGAAAATTGATTTAAGTTACCCCATTTATATAGTAGAAGTACCAGTGATGAAACTACCCACTAAGGTAGAATTTAATCCTGACCCAGTTCTCTGTGCTGGGTGGGAATTAGTCCTATTTACCAACACACAGAAAATTAGCATCAAAAAGAGCAGTCAAAGCCAGCTTTGGTTCTGAAGGGAACAAGTTTTTCTATATTTTGATTAGAAGAATGAGCTAGCAACACAAACATCATAAACTGTCTACTTTGACAGGACTCTGACCATGGGGGAGTGGACCCAAACAAACTTCAATGGTTACTGATACTTCCATTTACTCGATGCCAAGTTAAAGATCCCCACAGTAAACAGAGCACCCTGGATCTTGTCACAGCATGCCAGGTGCCTGTGACAGCCTGGTGGCACTCGGTCACCTAGAAGAATGAATTCTGTATGAAGTACCCTCCAATCTTTGTTCTACTGGTTTCCCATAGAATATAAACCATTGTTTATTTTCTAAAATTAGGTCAGCATTTCCTGAATTAATCTGGTAACCAAACCAGTTGTAGTTTAACTTTGTCCTAATAGGAAGAAAAGTCCAATTCTGGAATCGCACCCAAGTCACAAAGGAAACGCCAAATGAAAGCCACCAGCCAGGTACCATGTAGTATTCTGCATCATTTATTAAATATAATTATGTATGCATTTACAAACTTGACTTGCTTCAGAACTCTGCTTACAGTTCAGTTTTTAAACTTTTGTGTAGAGATGGCCTAGCAAAACGAGACCCAGGTACAAAACGAGGCAACAGGTAGAAAACATTTCCTGTTATACTTTGCACCCATCCAGAAAAGAAATCACGTGACATAGAAATAAAACCAAAACGTGGTTCTTTCAGAAGAACAGCACTGTCAGTGTTCAACTATGCCCCGTAAGGGGGCAGCTATGCATCCTAAGGCCATAGCTCCTACTTTGTCTTAATGTGGATGTATATATATATATATTCGTAATAACCTCTCACCTACAGTATCATGTTGTTTCGATGAAGAAAATCTAGAAACCATCACTAACTCATTTGACTATCATGTGACATCAAAATTAACCATGGAGATGACACTTAATGGCCAGCAATATGCTGTATCCCAAATGTCATGGAAAAAGTTCCCTTTAAAAAATTCATTGACTTCTTTCCAAGCTAAAGTGTTATCCTCTAACATCGCTCTCTTAAAGAAATACCTTAAATGACTAATTTTGAAGCTTAAAATTATTCTCAAAACTAAAGTTGCTTTTCTTAAAATGAATGTTGTTTGAACAGTTCACAGACCTGGAGTTATCACTAGGAGACAGGGCACCAATGCTATTAGCAATGAAAAACAGCATAACCGTAGGATAATTATAAGGTACAAAATTGCCCAGGGGCCAGAAACTCGCTATTAATATAATTTTGGCAGCAGCATCATTTGATATTTAACCATTTATTACATAAGTATTAACATATCAGCTTCAAAGACGCGCACTCCCTGTAGGACACTCAGGAATTACAAAGTTATGGTGATTGCATAATTTGTATTGCACAGTTTTATAAAAAACATAAATACTGGCTATTCTAGTTTTAAATACAAAATACATGTCATATACTTTTAAATCTATAATCTGGTTCAAGTGCAAATCAGGTACTTTCTGTAGTCCTTCCAAAAAAGGCATTTTTAATATTTTTGGCACTAGTGACAAGTCACCATGCCAACAGAGCTAATTACAATACATAAGTCCAAACCTCTGAGAGTAGCAATCATATACATACAATACAAAACTGAGTATTTACAAATGTACTAAGCACACATGTAACCTTAGTGGGCGAATGAGAACTAATGGGCCATACCCAATGCTGATAATAATTTAAAGAGGGTGAGTATAGTCCCCCCCATCTCCTTTGCTTAGGCTGGCTGCTGTGGGTTGACATTCATGTGAGGAGGATGTCCTAGAAGGCCGATTCTTTGTTTCTGCTTCCTCTGTTCTGTCATCTGGAAAGTTAAAAAGTTTCATCATTACAGTCAGACACTTCCTGTACGTCAGGTCACACACTGAACCATAGATTTACCTCTGTGGTTATGGGTTATACTGAAACCCACTTTCTACAAATAGTGTACACACACACACACACTGCTTCAAAAAGGGCATCTTCCTCCGCAGAGCGGGGAATTCTGCGACCCATCATGCAGGGTGACATTCGTCAGAAGTATTGCTTGCTACTTGTTTCACAGAGAAACAAAAGAGAGAAGAAGCACCAGCTTCAAGATTATTTCTGAAAACCATTTCCAAGTGATGCAGAGACTCATTGGAAAATGGTAGCTTGCTTTGATTACGACACATCATTATATAGGAAAGCGGTGTTTTTAGAATCCCTGGGTCTGACACTTTGTTCAGGGGGTCTCGGGTTCCTCTCCTCAGTGATTTTGCAAGGTCAGAAAAAAGTTACCTGGTTCTTCTCAGAAAGAAGAGAGGTCCTCACAACCCCAAGATACAGGGTAACTAATGCTACACAAACAGTGTTCTGGCCACCAGTGCTGTGAGCAGGCACTGGATTTCGGATCTCATCAGGAGAGACCATTTCTCAGTGTTGGTCCCTATGGAAAAATGCATTCAAAGCCCCAAGTGAGGGGCTGATTTTCTTCTGGCTGTGGGGACTGAGCTCTCACTTGGGCCTCTAGCTTTCTCCTGGGTATTTTAGGACTCCGTTCTCTGCATTGAGAGTTTTCTTAGCATTGTAGGGACTACTTCTGGACTTGAGGCTCACAAGTTAACTATGATAAAAAGGCTGTATGAATACATATTAGATGAAGTTATGTGCAAATAGCATAAGGCTTAGGGTAGGACAGTAAAAAAATATATAAACTTTGGAATCAGACAGTCATTTAACTCAATCTCAAATGTTACTTATCTTCTGCCAATTTGTTCATTAGTCTGTGTAATGAAGGTAATTCCTGTCTGGTGGGCAGAAAGCTCAGGGCATATGCCGATGTCTTAGTACAGTGTCACATACAGGATGCTTAGGTTTCAGTTTTCACCTCAACTGATTTCCGGTACATACCTAGTACACTTACTTTGGTTCCAATTTAAAGTGGCTATAGTTTGCTTTCTCAAAGCAGAGCACCTAACAGTTGAAGCCCAAGATACTATTTTTTGGGCTCCCATGGAAATACTTTATTATAATTTAGACGAACAGATGAGCAAAGATTGAACCCTTCCACGTGGGTTTTAAGTGAAGGTTTTATAAGGAACTGAATGAAGATATTCTAGCCAGCCTCCAAAGTTTACATTCATGAGTTCATCCGAGGAAGGAGATGTTTCACATGGCACATGGGTTACATTCATTGTTACGTTAGCATGCTAGTTACCTGCTCATCTTATAGTCTGACAGTTCAGATAGGGGAGCTCAGGTTTGTTCACTTCAACTGCTCTCTAGACAGGCAATCTTGTGAAGGGATCTATTCATAATCTTGATAATTCCAAGTATTTAAATGAACTTAGAAATCTTGGCATGCTCACTCTCTGTAGAAGGGTACTTCCTAAAAATGTCCATGTTTATGAAACTGCTGACACCTTACAGCTCAAAGCTGGCCCATACAACCTTCCCTGCAAAGCTTTCCATAACTGCAGGTACCAGAGGGAACCTTTACATACACTACTGGCCTTCTCCCTGCTCGGTAAGTCAGTTACTCTGTCTTAAGCTTTCTACTCTTTAGCAAGTGAGTTCTTGGCTTCACTTAGAGCCATCAATGGCTCCCTCCCTCCCTCTTGGTCCTAGTCTACTTTTCGTTTTTTGGTTTTTTTTGTTTTTTTTTCCATTTAAACTGGTCAGCACATCATATTCCTCCCTCATAAACAGAAAGGCCCACAGTGTTGTAGGCTACTGGCCAGTTCTTAAGCCCTGATCATTTCAAGTCCTAATACATATGTATCTGATTTTGATTGTTTCCATAGAATGGTTCAGTACCACAACCACTGAGCAAAACCATAAAAATATAGACAAAGGATACCACAAACAGTTTGATACATTGGGTCTGCTGTGGGGGCCCAGAAATATGCATTTCTAACGAGTTTCTGGATGCTGAAGATGTTGCTGGCCTGTTTTTTTGTTTGTTTGTTTTGAAGAGCTGAGCCATGTACATTTTGAGCATGTTATCATATACTTGAATGCTTCCTTTTCTTACATGATGGCAGGTCTTAGAGACGATTCTCTGCAGCTGAGAATATAACAGCATACCATTTGATTGTGTGATCTGCATCAACTTTGGCCTTTTAGACAGGAGGAAGCCATTTAACCCAAATAGATTCTGTCTTTACTAGCTCCATTCAAACGTTTCACACATACAACCTGTCTGTCTATCTTACCATAAGGCACCACTCACTATATGTGTAACTATTATTTTGTCAGGAAATAGAAATAATGACCCACATCTATCCCAATCTCACACAGTGTACTCACTGGACATCCAGAGCAAAACGGACCCCTGATAAAATCTCCATCAGAGTCACACCTAAGTACCCGAGTCATGTGAAATGCCCTAGCTGTAGAACATTACAAATTCTCAGAGTCTCCGTTTAGCTGAGGATGGACAGCTGAAGCCAGGCAGTGCTTCATGGCTATGCAGATACAGAAATTACCTTGAGCGTCTCTGTGCTGCCTTTTGGCTCTCCTCAACAGCTTTATAAATCAGATGGAAGCAACGTCAAAAAAGACCTTGCACGAGAACACTAGATGCAGCACGGTGATTATGAAGTCATTAAAAGTGGGCACAGGAAGGAGGCTTGTTGACAGCGCACAGAAGATACCTTAGTTTGGCTCAGAACAGATCTTAACACTCTCGGGAAAGCTTCCAGTTACACATGGAGAAACATCCTGGTTACTGAGATTCCAAATAGCTAGTGAAGTCTAGTAACCAGAATTCCTTCCTGTGGTTCTGTAGAGTCAGTCAGGCTCAAATGATGAGCCCCAAATGCTCAGAAGTTAAAACACACAAAACAACCCCCCCCAAAAAAAAACAACCCTCCCAAACACAGGGTCTGCTGCAGACAATTATACTGCTTCTATATTTTTGCTCAGCCCCTCAGAGGTACCCTCCTAATATGCTAAGTCCCATCTCACTGGCAAACTCTTCTCAAACTCTGAATGAGGAATGAGTAACCCTGAGAAGGCTGTGGGGCCATGACTGGAATCTTTCCCCTAAGTTCACTGTGAGGAGAGCCTTTGTCCCTTCCCACTGAAACCAGTTTAGCCTTCTACAACATACTGTGTTTAAGTGTAATTCTCCTGTTTGTTGTCTTGGTGGGAGACAGCTAGTTCTAGAAGGTAAACACGTTTTGCCTCTGTAACCTTAATAGCTAGTGCTGTGTGTGGCAAACGTGGCCTCTGAGTGTTGGTTGAAATGAGGAGTTGGGTTAACCTGAGTGTATTGCCATTCCTTGAGCATGCCATGCGCTGTCATGCGTTTGCTCATGCCACTTCCTTTCCTGGAAGGCCCCTCCTGTAGTTCTCTGCCAGCCCAGAAGCCACCTGCTTGTATGATTACAGAAGCTATACCACTTTCTCACTCTAAGCCACTGCTGGGCCAGCCTCCTCTGTGTTCCAGGGAACTTCATTCACGCCTTCTCTTTGTTTCTTGCTAAACACAGGGTCCTAGAAGGCAGATGCCTTGGGTCTCTTTCATGAAAAAGGCAACATGCTAATATAATTTAGATGTTCAAGCACTTCTTACATTCCTAGCATGACAGTTATGGGTCACTGTCCTGTAGAAAGCCAGTCACATTTTCAGGAAAATTAACCTTTTGCTTAGTATTTGCTCTTTTGCATTATGAAGGAAACATGCAAAAAAAAATCATGAAGTTCTTACATTAGTCTTCCTCCTTGGAACAAGGATGTAAGAGAATCACATTTAGTATTCAGAATCTCTTGGGAGGGGAAACTTGGAGATGAGATGCATCATTAATACTTAGAATAGCAATCCAGTCAGACTGAACACCTGACACCAGTAATCATGTTCTCACTAATATCCTCACAAGGACTTCTCCAGTTAGTAGTTTAGAAAAACAACCACCAAAGATCTCAAGCCCAGTAAAGATTAAAACCTAAAGTCATTCATGTTTAAATGACCATTGCTCGATCCATTGCTGGTTGCTGGGTCAGAACATCTACAAAATAGCTACGGGATGAAGCAATTTTTAGATTTCCCAGTGAATGGCCGTCTTTCAAGGCTGCAGTAAAAAAAAAAAAAAAATCTATGACTGAGTTTCTTGTTCCTGAATCATTTGTGGGGCTTTTAGGTTTTAAGCCATTTTGTTGCCTTTTGTGGACAGGAATTCCTGCAATGGCCAGAACCAAATCTGTAACATGTCACTAGGAGTTCTTATACACATTAAAAACATGTTTAAAAGTCTAACACCAAACCCAATAGCATTCAAACTCTTCAGGCTGGTTCTGAGATGATGCATTACAGGCTCGTTAGGAGTTACAGCAAGGAAGCAATTTCTACCTCCCTGCCCCCAAAGCAACTGTGGTCTATTTTTTTTTCCCTGTCTGTATTTCTGAGCATCTCGAAACTTAAACAGTTTAAATCCTGGTAAAAGAACTTCAAAATGTGCTATTGCATTTCCATGCTTCTTTGTAGCCTATAACACTTTCCAAGAAAAAAAAAAATGGTTCAATTTCAGAATCACTCACAGGGGAAGGGCTTTCTAAAGAGTGGTTCCAACTGCCAACTTGAAAACTGAAAACTGATGAGAGAAGCGCAGGGAATTGAAGAGTTGAAACCACACAGGGTCTAAGGAGAGTTCATGAATCTTATAGTCTACTGTAGTCAAATGTTAGTGCAATAGAAATAGCTTTACTCCAACCTAAGTTTACAAAAGCCGAGTTTCTGCTGTGCATATGACAGGGAATGTGTCCTCAGAACCATGAAATAGTAAGGTTCTTCCAAAAAAAAAAAAAAAAAAAAAGAAGAAGAAGAAAAAGAAAGCAAGGAAAAGGAAATTTAAAAGTTAATCACAAAGGGCAAACTGAATACAAAACAGAGCAAACTCAAAACAAAGCTACTGAACACATCAAAGCAGGCCAACACGGGAGGATCGGGGCTTCCCACCCTCATGCTGTGATGCGCCAGGGGATACATTTCCCAAGAGCCTTCTATGCTCCTTGCTGTCCATATCAAGGGAACCAGGAACTGGTAAGGTGACCCGTGCGTGTCTCCCTACACCTGCCATTCTTGCTGCATTTCCTCAGTCCCTCACACCTTGGACATGGCTCACCGGTTTGTGAAGTGGGGCTTGAGGCAGCTTCTGAGTCACCCTGGGTGACAGACTCAGCACTACATGAACAAGGATTTTCAACAGAGCCCGATGGAAAGGGCTGACTTGGTTTTACCACCATGGAACGCTCAAAAACGTAACAGTTTTGTTTCAGACATATTTTAAGAAACTCCTCGGCAAACTGGAGACGCCGGATTGTTATTGCTCACATTAACAGAGCTTCCGGGGATGAAAATGAGAAAAGAGTCATGAGGAAATGAGAGGAGGGATAGGTACACTGCAGAGCTAGGTGGCCCCAGCAGTAGCAGTTCGGATACCCCAGGCATGAAGTGCAGGAGAACTCTTGGATCAAAGTCTAAGATTTTGTTGTTTTGCACCTAATTTAAAACATCTGATTTGACTGAGCCTCTTGATGCCACAGCTATCCCAAGGGGAGGGGAAAAAAAAAAAAGCTTGCTAGGTTCCCAGGCTCTCAGGGGCTGGAGGGATAGAGGCAGACACAGCCTTCGATGTATTCACGAGTCAGCTGGGTCCTGTAAGACACCTGTTAGATGCCTCGCAGGAGGGCGGGCGGTTAAAAGGGAAGTGTTCTAGTTAAATCTTCATTACTTTACTTATTTAAGTTATTATTCACTTCAGGAGGTTGCCAAGCTCTCCTATCAGCAAGGCCACCCTTTCTCATTGGTCTTTCATTATCTGCATCTTAGAGCATTTGAGGGAAAAGAACTTGAAGCCAAATGGTATCTTAGGGCACAGATGGGCAAAATTCAGCTCGAAAGAAAATATAATTGAAAGCTGAATTGTTAAAAATGCTCTCTAAACTGTCCCCAAGATGCGTTTATTGTAGGCCAGCTCTTCTGTAGTTATGAAGTACACACAAGTAATAGGTCACCTAGGGCCACTGACCCAGGGCAGGGCTTGTTGGGTACCTACCGCTGGTGCAGGACATACCATCTTGTCTCCGGTACTGATTAAAATGCCTTCAGAAACAAATGTAAGATGCTGAGCTGTGTCTGTTGGTGTGTGGTTGTCCCAGTGAGACTGCTCACTGTCCCTGTCTCAAGTTCTTGACCCCGAGTGGCACCTATCACTACATTCCCCTGTGACTGGTATGTTCTTAAGGCATCCAAGGTGTGTTTGTGTAGGACAATATGCTAGAGTTGGTATAAATCTGTCACCTCTTGTCAACTTGTGTGTTCCAAGGGGCAGGGTGGGAGCCCTGTTTCTGAAAGGACTAGAAAGGCCTCCTAAGACTGGCAGCTTCTCTCAGGATGTAGAGTTTTAAAACCCTGGGTAAACACTTGAGAAATCACAGGGCTAAGAAGCTAAAGCAGAACTAGGTGCATATGTTCTCATATGTGAGTCAAGTCCCAAAGGGTTCAGCTGTATGAAGCGTGTTGTCTTTGTTGGTCAATGCTTCATCTAAGTCATTTCCATATTTAAAATTAATACCCTTAGCAGTGCAGACACAGAGACCCAGCTGCACAGAGGGCAAGGACAGCAAAGGAAGAGACTGAGGGTGTGAGTCTGTTGTTTGACACCCAGACCCCTCTATGGCAGGGAGATGCTTCAACACTGTAGCATGAATACTGCCCATCTCTCCATCAGATCTGAGGTGTGTGACAGGGAGTGGGATGTGTACAGGTTGTGGGGCCAGGTGTGGCTTTTCCCTTCTTTACCTGGTCCTTTAGTTCCGACAGCTGGCCAGAAAGATTGGTGACCAGTTTCATTGTGGACTCTAGCTTCTCCTGCAGGTTCCTCAGCTCGTTCTGTTCCCCTTCAGAATCGCTGCTGACCAGGGACATGGCTCTCATCCTGGGGAACCAATCAAGGTTTCTTTCCTAGGATGCACATTGGAAAAAAGCAGGAGTTACTTCTAAGGGTAGAAATGAGAAGAGCCATCTTTTATGTCATCTTTCCCATAGACATTCTTTCATGCTGCTATCTCTGCCTGGGGTAGAACTAATAACGATTTGAGTATGGAGGCCAGAGGTTGATGTCAGGAATCTTCCTTATTTGCTCCCCGCCTCCCTGTCTTTCTTTTTTTCTTTCTTTGAGACAGGTCTCACGTGGTACTAACAGGCCTGAAAGTCACTATGTAGACCAGGCTGGCCTTGAACTCACAGAGATCTGGCTTCTTCTGACTCATAAATACCGAGATTATTTTGAGAAAAGGTGTCTCGCTGCATGTGAGCTCAACAACTTGGCTAGATGCTCTGGCCAACAAGCCCTAGGTATCTCCACTTCTCTGGGATTACAGGTATGGGCTCCCTCGTCTGACTTTATGCTGGTTCTGAGGATCCAAACGGGTCCTCATGCTTGTGTGGCAAGCACTTTACTGACTGAGGCAACTCTCTAGCCTAGAAAAGTTGTAATTAACACAATGGAACTCTTAATTCTTACAAGAGGAAATTGCTGTAAAATTAAATATAAGTGAAAGTAGGCTTCCAATTTAAGGTCCTAACTACAACCATTGAAACTGCCACTATGGCTTCCATCTTTGCCACTATAGTTATTGTCCGGGCAAATTATATGGCTGAGAAGCTTTGTTTCAGATTAGGGAAAACCATACATAACAAACTTTAGTAATATTTAGGTTACACACATTCAGGGGCGCTGAATAATTCACATTTCTGCATAGCCTATACCAGAATGTTTCATTTTGCCCAGCTGAAATCCCACCCAGCTTACACACCCCTTGAAGCCACCAAGGTCTCTGTCTCTGAGTCTTTGACTGCTCTAGGTACCTCATACCATGCTGTGTTCAAAGAGAATTACACTGGAAAAACAAAACTGTCTGCAATCACTCTAAAATCGAGACAAATGTCAAGTTCCCACTTGTTCTGGCATTTTTATGGACAGGTGTGTGAATTTGCTTTCGTAAAGGGGTTGTTAATGGATGAAAGATGAGGAACGGCTCCTCAGTCCATTTCAAGTTTGTGAGCTTATGGAAGATACCCCTATGTCTCTTCCAGCTTGCAGTGGGTGGTAGCTGCTGCCCACTGTACAAGGCAAGGCCATTTGGCCACATGCCCCACCCAACTCTATCCTTTTGATGTTACAGCTTGTACATGTGAACGGTCTTTCTCACCTCTGGTTAGCAAAGTGGGACTTTTCCTTCTCTCACCTCACTTCCTTCTGCCCATGATGCCTTTCTCCTAAATAGCATGCCTCATACTCAGGTTCTGAACAGAGGGGCAGGAATGAATAGCAAGATCCAGGGTGACTGACTCATTTCAGATCTAGCCAGACTCATTCTCACCTGGACCACTTTGATCTTATCGGTATATATTGCATGCACTTTTCAGAACATCCCTGCAAGTAAGAACAATGTACTATTGTTGCTCTGATCTACTACGTGCTCTCAGCATTTTTCTGGGAGTCAGTCTTTTCTGATACTAATTATTTTTGTCTTTGTGAACCATATGGTCTCTGCTGTAACTATCCTTGCCCACTTCCCAGACAGCCATAGGCAGTATGCAAAGGAAAAGATGCAGCTGTATGCCCATTAAATGGGCTGGTGGCTCACTGGGTTTGGACTTTGGACCTGTGTTGGCCAACCTCTGCTGTACATAATAGAGGGTGTTAGTATGCTTCAAATGAAAATCAATACTCTGTGAGACCCAAGTCTCACATCAGTTGACACAGTAACTGTGCCCATTAAACTGACTTCATTCAGCTAAGGCGATCTTGCAGGAGAAGCCACGAAAGGACCAGGCGCAAAATAAACAAAGGCGGCAAGCCACATGCTAGCACATCTATATTTTGGGGGCAGGGGAAGCCTCAAATTCATAATGTAGCTAAGGTGACCCTGAACTCATGTACCACCAGGTCCACTTATGTGGCTCTGGGCAAGCATTCTACCAATTGAGCTATCTCCCCAGTTCAGTCACAGCTTGAGACACCAGGGGAATCGAGGAACTAATTCTCAGGAGCTCACTGCTCTGTAAGGCGAGGGCTGGTACTGCCTCGATGGAGTGACTAGACCACAGGAGATAGTCAGTGTTTGTGGGAGGGTGGAGTGATCCTTCATGGGCTCTACTCACATGAGCTTAAATAGTAAACATTGAAGTGCTTAGATTTTTTCTTTTCTGCTGAAAGAGAAAAATGGCAGTATCTACCCTGCTATACCCCGTGATAAACATTCACACTACCTTACATTCATTTTAATCAATTTATCAACAGAGTGACAGATAAAAGATTAAGCCCATAAAACACACCATTTCAAAGCCACTAGCTTAAAAAACAGGTGTTTCTCTGCCAGTAATCAGTTTTCTACAGGACAGCTCCAGTAAAGTGCCATTCATGGGATTCTATACAATCTGTGTCTACAATTCAGACACATCACTCCATGTGCCCACCAAGGAAGCAGCTCACATTCAAGGGTTGCAATTCTGAGGGAGAAAGGAACCTTGGGTTTCAGAAGACGGTGGCATGGGGCTGGTGAGCAGTGAACTTTCTGTCATCAGTGTAAACTAGCCTCTGTGAAGGGATAGAGGGATGTTGAGGGCTTGACTGACAAAGGCATGAGCCCCAAACTACAAAGAGATCTCACAGAAGTCCACTTAGCCATCAGAGGCCTCAGATAACCAGCCTTGTTGCTATAAATTTTTTGTAGAATGGTTCCAGAGAAGGAGAGCAAAGATCCTAAACCCAGCTGTCACTGTCAAGCTCTGAAGAATGTGCTCATACAGCACCAGCTGGGATGTGGCGAGGGTTATACATCTCACCATCTCAGATGTTAGCAACTGAAGTTCCGACTTGGGTGTGGGAGACAGGACTAAAGCCCATTTTCCAAATCTGGTCTTAAGAAGTAACTTGTATTTACAGTTGCATATCATTGTAACTGAGTATATGCGTGGGCATCTTATAGTTAGTTGATCTCAAGTATGTCTAAGCCTTGAAAGTATTTTAAAAGTCTAGCAAATTCAACATAAACTACAGGATCCCTTATTTCATAAAGTTGGCACTGAGGATGGTGCAGTGGCCACACAGGTGTGGACAGTGCATCTAGGTCCTGGAGCCTCTTTAAAAGTAGACATGTTTGCCTTGGACACTTAGGTAGGGAGCAGGGCTCCCATCGGCAGATTCCTGCAGTGGATATCTAGGCAAGAAAGAGCAGGCTGTGCTGAGTCAAATAAGCTACAGAGAAAAACACTTGAGGACAGGACCTGCTGTGGACCAATCTTTGTAAACTGTAAATGTGTGTCACTCTCATTGGTTAACAAAGAGCTGATTGGCTGATAAAGGGAGAGATTGGGTGGGTGGGAGAGCCAGACTAGGAAGTTGCAGTGAAAACGCAGGGTGGAGTCTGACAGCTACAAGCCGAACATGGGAAGTTCATAGATGAGGTAAACGAGCCTTGGGGCAGTACACAGATTAATAGAAGGGGTTCATTTAAGTTGTAAGAACTGGCTGGGGACAAGCCTAAGCTATCGGCCAAGCATCTATAATTAATACGTCCCTGTGTGTTTTTTTTGGGGGGGAGTGGCTGGCAGGACAGAAAAGTCTGCTTACCTAAAGGAGGCCAACACTGGGCTCTGAAGGGAGCATGCATGAGGATGTCCTCAATAGAACGAGGGGGGAAGGCCCAGGTGTAATGGACCACCAGTGTGGCTGTAGAAGGAGGTGAGCAGACAAGCAAGGTAGCTTGTACTGTATGTAGGTGTATAGTGGCATGATGGAGAGTCTGGAATAGGAAGAGACAGGAAGTGTGAAGCAGGAAATGAAGGAAAAGAAAGGAAAGGAGATGTGAGGGAAGAGACTCCACCCTACTATATGTGGAGCAAGCACAGCGAGTTGCCGCAGGCTCATCTGTGATTAACTTATTGCTGTGCAAAGAGATGCTCCAAGGCCAGAGTGGTAGTGAGCTCATCTACGGTCACACTCTCAAATCCCCCATGTGCTCATCTGCTTAGCGAACCTTCTATAAAAAGAGAAGACAGATTTCCAAAGAGTCCATGTAAATGAGGTGTTCAGAAGACTCCAGAAAATCCATGCATGGGTGTGCACACAGCTTTGAAATTAGGGAACAGTAACACATGACTGAACAGTGACAGATTACAATGAGACTGTGCTACGGCAAATTCCCACTTTCTGCAGCGCATGGGATTCCCACCCTCCTCCAACAGTGACTGCAGGAAGGTCATTGAACACGTGCAAAATGTACTCTTCTGCCACCTAAGAGTCTTTGAGACTCAACTTTTACTTTTTGTTTTCCCTGCTCCACACATGGAACACCTGTGACCATGGGATATGAAGGCCCTACTCAAGGAGGCCATACAGCCACCCACCCACAGAGATAATGCATCTTTAAACCACAGTAAACTGAAAGAGTGATGTGGAACACTCTTTCAAACTTAGGTAGCATCCATCACTACAATGAAAGGCCATGCGTTTGCTGTGGGCTACTATGGGTCATGAGTTCCAACCCTGGGATAACCTTCACTCTCCATTTCTTATGAGGTCTTCCATGCAAAGGTAGGAAAAAGGGTTTTCTGGGTTAGACCCTTTGCTGTAAATTCTCCTTCACTGCCTCCTTTTATTTGTAACATGAAACTTGGGTAGGAGGAACCCCACTAAAACCCATACAAGACAAGCTCAGTGGAACAGATCGGAGTTCTGTGGTGGGCAGACCCTATCCTGTTCTGCGCTGAAATGAATGGGTTCTTGAATGTGAGATCTTTGGTACCACCAATATTTTAATTAATCAATGGCTGTTAGGTCAAATCTCCAATTACGCAGTATTTAAAATTAATTAGCAATTCTAGCCAAACTCTTTCTCAATTTCCAGGTGGTTTTGCATGTGGCTCAGTAGGGTCAGCTCCTGTTGGTGTAAGGT